CACAGAGAGGTCTGCTCTGACTGGTGATGATGCTGCTGTTGTGCACGGCGTGTGGCAATGGAAAGCACAGCCCAATGGCAGCCCATTGTCCTTCCTACACTGGTCACCCAAAATGAGACTTACCTGTCATAGGATCAGATATCTATTGCAGCTCCCATTATTAAATAACCATGTTTAATGCACTCCCCAGAACAGATTTGCTGGGTTCGCTGCCTGCAGGGGACAATCTGGGATGAATTACCGGAATAACTAGGGCTGGAGCTTTCCTTTCACTGCCGCTTTATAATTCAGGACTTGTGAGTTCCTAAATGGAAAGCAACAGGGTCTCTTTGAACCCCAGGCAGAGTCCAACTTTTATGGCTCTGTTTTCATCCTGCAGCATTCAGCTGTAAAATCTTGCCTGATTAGTATTAATCAGGCGGGACAGATACCATCTGGCCTTGATTTGTACCAACTCTAGGGACAAACGTTCGTTTTACTGATGAACAGTTGAACTATACTCGGGGATTCAGCTGGACTTGTACCTGTTTTGGGAAGTAGATTTTATTTTTTTTAAGTTTTCCTATTTTTTTCTTTTTCTTTCTTTTTTTTTTTATTTTCTCTTTGTGTGCGTGTTTATGTATATCTTTGGGAAGTAGATTTAATACATATGGGTGAGAACCTAACTCTGACAAATACGATATTGTTGTTTAGAAACATATGAGAAACATACTCAGCTATTCGTAGAGAAGAAGCGACAAAAGAAACTACCATCTATTAAACACCTACTGTGTGCCAGGCAATTATTACGATTTTCTTTAACCCTGTCAGCAACTGTGGGAGAACCCCCAAGTGGCCGCTGTGTAGGGTGAAGCTCCTGGCTTCTGAAGCAAGACCCTTCACCTGCCATGACCTTGAGCCAGTTGTGTCACCTCTCTCTGTGCCTTGGTTTCCTCATCTGTGAAGTAAAGCTAATAACAGCACCTACCCAGGGTTGTTGGAAGGACTAAATGACTGACTGCATGAAAGGCATGTCAGGGGGCTGGTCGGTTAGCTCAATTGGTTAGAGTGTGGTGTTATAACACCAAGGTCAAGGGTTTGGATCTCGAACCAGCCAGCCACACCCACCTCTACGTTCAAAGAAGAGCACTTGAAATAGTGCTTTGTCCAGGGCAGCACTCAATACATGTTAGCTAGCATTAGTATCATCATACCCATTCTGCAGATGAGGCTCAGAGAGGTAAGGGGACTTGCTCGAGGTCATGCAACTAGAAAGCAGCTCTGCTGGGTCATTCTGCTGCCTGGTCTGCCTCCCAAGGCAGGGGTAAAGACAGACTATAGAAAACAGCGACTTTTTAACAAAGAGTATTTGACTTTGAAGTCCTGGTGTCTTCAGCCTATCTGCCTTAGGAATGTGCGTTTTGGAGCTCATACTTGTGCTGATCAGTTCAAGGCCAGTGGTCAGGCTGGCTGGGAGAAGTTCCTCAAGTGTTGGACAGTCCTGGTCCTCAAGTCTTGAGTTGACTGCATGCACGTACACACACACAATCTGTCTACATGCTAATATGTCATCTTTCATACATGTGTGTATCAAATCCTGGCTTTCAAGCTGTGTGATTTTGGGCAGGTTCCCTGAACCTCTCCAAGCTTGTTTCCTCATCTTAAAAATAAGGTATAAAAATACATACTTGCAGGTTTTTTGTGAAAATTATGAAGCACCAACAGAATACGCTTGACATAGTAGCTGCTCAACAAATGATAATTATCACTACATGTGATTATTTAAAACAATACAATTAATGGTAAATATTGCCTTCCAAGTCAATGGTTGTTTCACAGACTTGTTGGATGTCTGAGCTGGAAGGAACCTTGAAAATATGTGGTCCAAACCTTTCATTTTACGGGTGAGAAAAGTAAGGGCCATAGAGGGCTACTGAGACAGCTGGGGGCAGAGATGAGGCAGGAACCCATGATTCCCAGTTCCAGGTCGGGACACAGGAGGACAGAAGGGCCAAGTCTTTTCCACAGGTGCTCACTAAGTCCCTCTTTTGTGCCTTCCCCATATTGCTTCTGCCTACCAATTTATTCCAATCAGTCACCAACTTAGCACCTCAACCAGCGATTCAGAGAACCTGATTTATTTAGTTTGAAGTGGGGCCCAAGCATTGGGATTTTTTTTTTCCTTTTTGTCTTTTTCCGTGACCGGTAACGGGATCGCAACCCTCAGTGTCGCGCCCATACCACGACCGGCAACGGGATCGCAACCCTCAGTGTCGTGCCTGCACCACGCTCAACCAGTGAGCGGACCGGTCTCTAAATGGGATCCGAACCCTCGGCAGGAGCGCCGCCACGCTCCCAAGCGCCGCACTCTACCGAGTGCACCACCGGGCCGGCCCAGCATTGGGATTTTTAAAAAAGCTCTTTTGGGTGATTCCTAAATGCATGCAGTATTGAGAATCACTGTCCTGTATGTTTTGGATTCTGTGATATTCTTTCCCTCCATCCCAATCTGAGGCTCTTCTTCACATTGAACACTAAAGACAGTCTTTCTAAAATGCACCTTGAATTACTCTCTTGCTCCAAACCTTTGACAGCTCTATCGTTGACTGGCATAGAAAGCCCATGTGCCTCAGAGTGGCATAGAAGGTCCTCAAGGATGGGGTCCTGTTTCTTTGGTCCCATCTCCAGCTTCTTTGGGTTCCCTGTCTTTGTGATCTACTAATACTGAACTCCTCAGAGACGCCTGCCCTCTTCTGCCAGTGCACCTTTGTTTAGCTGTTGTGTTCTGAAATGCCCTCTGTCCATCCTCTAAGTCACTAGAGCAAATACTGCTCAAAACTTGAAGATGAAATTCAGGGTAAGACTGTGAGCTGAGGGTAACGTCCGCACCTTGTCCACCTCTGTGTCCCTGCCACACCGTATGTTCCTGAAGAACTTAATAAGATAAATGGCCTCATGGTGATTCCTGAACCCAAGGCAGACTTAGGCAGGTAGAGTGTTCCCCCAAAGACATCCCGAAGAGATATAAAATAGGTGCTTTGTAAGTACTTGTCAAATAATTATTAAGAAAACCATTTCCAACACCAAAAAGTCGATATTCGCTCTGATGTTTCCATTATAAATTTTTTTTTAATTTAGGAATACTGATTAACACAGGAAATAAATTTAATTCATGGAATTGTGCATATGGCCATCAGTTACATTGTGACATGTTAATTTCTTTATCATTTATTGGCACTGTCAACATAATACTGTAAACAAGATCACTTTGTATGTGTAATTCTGCGATGCTCCCTAGCTATGGCTTTCTACCATGAGCTGATATATAGATAGGTATAGATATATAGGTATATTAATGTTGTACACAATTTTGCATGGTTACTGAGCATCAGTAAAAATTATAAAAAAAACACCCATTTATAATAAAAGTGAGGATGTGCTAATAAGACTTGGTATTACTGGACCTTGTTTTCTGTAAAAGTGACAAGACTCGCTAGAGACATTTACTAAACTCTATGGCACTAACATGGGATGGATTCATTTCCAGGCCACAGAAGCACTTCTTCGTGGGCTCTGCCCTAGACAGCAGCCTGTCTGCTGGGCTCCTGTGTTTTCACCAACTCTTCCAAGTTTCTACAATCTTGAACTCTTCTTTTCCTTGAAATTCTTCTAAACTCCCACCCCCCAGAAGAAGATGTCTGAGGAATTCCTTATGCCCGGAGTCAACAAGAACTTGTTGATAAATGGCTTAAAAATTTTTACAAGAAGTAATTTTCCTTGGTTAGGAGTGAATAATAAATCTGGAGATAACTTTCCAGATAAAATGATTTCATTCCTCTGTCAATGCCCCATGGGGAGAAAAAAAATATTGGAGCTACTCTCTCGACTGAAGAGAGCCAAGTTTCTGGTTGTGCCCTGGCTTAAAACCCTTTGGACTCCAGGAACCTTATTGAATATTTGCACCCAGTGCTAAGGATCTCAAGAGAAAGCACACTTAAGCCAATAGATGAATTATGGTTTGGTTTGCATTTTGCTTGTTCAATAAGCCCTTGAACCTTGGGGATACTGCCTCTGGAATCTGGCTCCCCACTGAAAAGTGTGAGACCATGAACAGAGGTGTCTTTGTACATGTTGTTACCGTTCTGCAACACTCTTCCTTGCCCTGTCTGCTTGGCGAACTCTTACTCATGCTGCAAAACCCTGCTCAAATGTCACTTTCTCTTTGAAACCTCCTCTGAGGGTACTCCCTCTGATTTCCCAGTGCGCTCTCACACACCTCTGGTATAGTACCTGCCACTCTGCTTTAATTGTTGATTTAAGAGTCTGTTGTTTCCAATGGGATGTGAATCCCTTGATAGCAGGGACTGTTTTATTTTTCTCTGTATTCCTAGTCCTTAGCACAGGGCCTGGGATGGTGCATATTCAATGGAAGTTTGATGAATGAATGAATGAGTGAATGATGAATAAATGGATATAAAAATGAGTGAAACCTTGCAGAGAGAGGGAGGCATACATCTCCACTTAGCTGGCAGTGCAAGTGACCTTAAACATGGCAGAACTCCTTATTCGAACTGATGGATTAGCACTGACTGCAAGAATGCAGGGCAAACCAGATTCATAGCTCTGTCCATGCCTGTTAAACATGTCAGTGCCTTTCATTCCTCAATCAAAATAGGTTGATGATCAAGTCTGCTGAAGTGTGGAAGTGGAAAAAAAAGACAAACCCACTTTGAGATCTTTGGATGATTAGTTATTAAAAAAACAAAGAATGGAGATGGAGAATACAAGCCAGACTTTCTGAGTCTACCCACTAAATAATACTTCATTGCTATATGGTTATCAATGCTCTTTTTGGGAGCATTTGAGGTCAAATCAGTTCCAAGAATGTCTCACCTCCAGCAGAGATACTGTAGCCTCCCAATTAAGCACTGAAGTATTATCTGTCTGGTGATCTCCATACTCAGTCATCTCAGGAATTTTGGGGTAAGTAAGTACAAGGAAACCACCTTGAACCAACAGACTGCTTTTCCACAAGTGGTGTCTTTAATTCATGGTGCTTCCCTCAAGAAGAAACCCAGGGCTGTCCAGTTCTCTAAGTGGTCAGAGCATGGTTCTGATAACACCAAGGTCCAGTGTTTGATCCCCGTACCAGCCAGCTGTCCGCTGTCCCCCCGAAAAAAGAACTCGAGGCCAGCAAAGACTCCCTGTGATAGAACAGCCATGCTGTTCACAGGTCTGCTCACAAGTAGAGTGAAGGGGGATGAGCGAAAGTGAGAAAGAGCCTCCCATGGCAAGGGGCCCAAAGGTCAGACCCTAAGGCGCCCTGGGAGGCAGGATGAAGTGGCCCTGCTGCCCCAGACCCTGGGCTGATGTCCAGGGTGACAGGCTTGTGCTTCTGACCCTTGGGCCCAACTGTGTCCCCCTGGACGCTCAGGCTGCAGTTTCCTCCCACATAGGTTTAGGCTGACATTTAAAAGGGAGGAGAGAGTTTGGAGAAATGGAGGATATGAGTACGAACCATCAGTGATGCCACTGGGAGATCCTCCAAGGGCAAAGTCCTGTCAAGGACAGAATTCACAGTTTAGAAGAATCCCCGCATGCACTGAGAGAAGTGGTCTTGTTCTTAAGGAGGCCAGAGACCACTTCCCCCACCCCCAAGCTCAATCCTCATGTCCCTGCTGGCTGCCCTCCAATGATCTGTCCAGTCCCTCCCTGAACTGTGCTTGGGGTGCGCTCAGAGCTCCAGGGGCCGAGTGAGAAGGTGAGAGCATGTTTGCTAGCGTAGGGCGAGGGGAAGCAAGCATCCTTGATCTCGGAATATGGCACTTGAGATGGACTAGAACCCAGGAGTCCCAGCCCCCGTCCCAGAAGCAGGCGTAACTCCCTTGCCTGGCTTCCAAAGAAATTGTTGGGGTCCGTCAAGGGTGGGCAGAAATATGGCCAAGACCTCCCTGGCCCTTCCCAAGACTGTGTCCAGGGCTCAAGCAGAATTTCTGGGCTTAAACCAATGTATACCATTGGCTCTGCAGGGAGGAAAATAAAAACCAACCCCTCCCCGGCCCTCCCCGGCCCCAGAACCACCGAAAATATCCCCTTCCCACAAATAACCCTTCAGTTTATGCATCCGCCTCTGATACTTTTAAGTGAAAACATGAATTAGGCAAACTAATCAATTTGACAACTGTTGAGATTGGGGCTTTCTCAGAGGGTAGTGGGAATGGCTTCTTTACTTGAAGTCTGCTAAGATGTCGCTGAAAATATTGAGGAACAGGTGAGCGTGGTGATCCCTGAAGACCAGTGTGGGACGGAAGCGAATGGATTTGTCGCCACAGCCCCCCAACACCACACCTGGAAGAAGAGGAAGGAGGTAGGTTAGGAGCTTGGTCTGTCAGGGTCACGTGTGGGGAGAGCTGGAAGAGAAGGTACGCATATCCGTCCGTCTGTCATTCTTTCCACCCAGGCTTCCACCTGTCCTTCATTCCATCCACCCATGCATCCTTGATTCCCTTTCTCTCTCCCTTCATCCATCTCGCCCATCATCTCTTCTCCCCTTCTCTCCCAACTTGTTTTGTTGTTGTTGTTATTGGCAGCTGGCTGGTTCTGGGATCAAAACCTGGACCCTGATGTTATCAACACCCCACTAACCAACTGAGCTAACCAGACAGCCCAGGACCTTGCTTATTTTGAAGGGTGACTTCACCATTGTCCTTGTCTAGCTTGTTTAGCATCTTTGAGATGACGTTTTTCTCATTTTAAAAAGGAGACTAATTTTCCCTGCCCTTCAGAGCTGCTGCAGGGATTCTATAAGGTGGTATAAGAAAAAGACCTGACATTGTGCCCGACACATAGTAGGTGCTCTGATCTCACCACAATATCCTCCACTTAAAACTCTTCATGGCTTCCCAGAGCTCTTAGGATAAAGTCCAGAATCTTGAACCTGATCCACAGGCCAATATGAGGTGGGCCAGGCATCCCCTCCCTGAGCTTCTTTCCCTCCAGGCTGTCTGTCCCTCAACACGCTCCCCTCTTTCCATTTCTCCACCTTCATAAGCTCCGTCCTGCCTCAGGTAATAGCACACGTCTTTCCCTCTGCTCAGAATGCTCTTCCTCACCTTCACCTGGCCAATCTGTTCATCTGTCAAGACTTAAGGTAAAATGCCACCTCCTCAAGGAAGCCTTCCCTGATTTCCTGGCCTTGACAGTTCCCCCAGCTTCTTACTCCTTAGCTTCCTTCCCTCTTTCCTAGGACTTATCATAACTGCAATGGACTGTGAAATGCTGTGTTTACTGTCACCCCTTCTGCTAGACTGCAAGCTTCCTGAAGGGGGGGACCCTGATGGTCTTCTTCATCACCGTGACCGTCTTTTTTTTTTTTTTTGTCTTTTTCCGTGTCCGGCAACGGATCGCAACCCTCAGTGTTGCCCCCGTACCGGACCGGGGACCGGCAACGGGATTGCAACCCTCGGTGTTGCTCCTACGCCTCGCTCAGCCAGTGAGCGGGAACCGGTCTGTATGTGGGATCCGAACCCTCGGGCGGGAGCACCGCCGCGCTTCCCAAGCGGCGCACTTATCCAGTGCGCCACCGGGCCAGCCCCCACCGTGACCATCTTGTGTTGACACACGCACCTTCTCAGAGAACACGTGTTCAATGAATAAATGGATAAAAATCCCACCTGTAACTTTCTCTTCTTTTGAGAAAGGACATTCAGGCTTTCAGTCCACCCCTCCCCCAAGTGCCTGGTGGTATTTTGCACTCAGATCAGGTAATGGTGACAACTGCTAAAGTTCAGCATCCACTCCTGCTCCCTTACCTTTGTTTCTGGCAATTAAAATGAGTTTATTCCGTGTAGATTCATCTGGAGTATCAAAGGAGCAAAAGGTGCCTCGTCCTCTCACTCTGCTGATGAACTGGGGGTACCGGGCCTGCAATGGGGGAGATAAGGCCGGGCTCAAAGCCTGTCACCTGTGTGCCTGCCAGGTTCAATGGCTGTGCCTCCTCAAATACCCCCCCACCCAGGGTCCAGCCTTTGGGCCTCTGCATTAGCTGGTCGGACCACTGTGGGGTTAAGAGCTCTGGCTCTGGAGACATCGAGTCCTGGGTTCAGAACCCAGCTCTGCCTCTTTCTCACTGTGCAACCTTGGGTGAGTCACTTAAGTGGCCCGTGCCTCCGTTTCCTCTTCTGTAAACTGGAGGATAAAAATGCTACTGACCCTAATGGGCCGTGGTGAGAATTTAGTTAATGTGTCAACTCCTCAGCCCAGGGCTGGGCACTTGGTAGCTGCTCCATAGACGTTAGCCATGTCTGTTATTAGCTCTTCTAACAAAAGACACTGGTTCTTCTAGGAGAGGAAAAAGTTTGTCCTCACTTAAGGCTTTGAGATTGGGAGATGTAAGGGTTGAACAGTGGCCCCCCAAATCCACATCTACGTGGAAGCTGTGAATAGAATCTTATCTGGAAATAGGGTCTTTGCAGATGTAATTAGTTAAGAAGAGGCCATACTGGATTAGGTGACTGGTGTCCTTATAAGAAGAGGGAAATTTGGACACAGACACATGCACAGAGGGGAGAATGCCGAGTGATGGTGGAGGCAGAAACTGGAGTGACATATCCACAAGCCAAGGACGCCAGGGATTACTGGCAATGCCCGGCAGCCAGGAGAGAGACACGGAACCCTCAGAGCTTCTGTAAAGAACCATCCCTGCTGAGACCTTGATTTCAGACTTCTGGCCTTCAGAACTGTGAGAGAATGAATTCTTGTTTTATTTTTTATTTATTTTTTTATTATTTTTATTTTGTCAATATACAATGTAGTTGATTATTATGTCCCATCACCGAAACCTCCCTCCCTCCTCCCTCTCCCCCCTCCGTAATTTGTTAAGGTGGCCCAAGGAGACTCATGCAGGCACCTAGACCAGAAGACCTTAATCTCTCATTCCTCTGCACTGGCCAAGTGAAGGACAGCAATTGAGAGCCTGGATAACCCCAAATAATTCTAGGGTTCAGGGTGCAGAGTTGGAGGAGCAAGTTTATTTCATGACAGCTCCTTGGTAGAAGCTGGAGATAAAGTCGTGTTCTGGTGGTGAGAAGCCAGACACTGTCCTAGCCTTACATGCATAATCCCGAATCCTCACCCTCACAGTGAAGAAGGGCCCCTTGTGGTCTCCACGGATGAGGAAACTGAGGCTTGGAAGTCACTACAGTGCTGATTCTACCCAGTTCCTTGCACTTGCTGATTGCCTGGGAGCCAGCGTCTGGAACACATCCCTCTCTCCCACCAGAGAGGGATCTCTGGGGAAGCTGGGAACAAGGTCTCTTCCATTCTGACACCACTTGGGGCCCTTGTGCACACACATACAGTAGGACATGGTAACTGTCGACTTAGTTGATAAATGCAGGGAAGTGGGAGCCCCTCCTTCCCCCAGAGGCTTTGCCTGCTGCCTCTAGGCAGGCTGCTCTGCAGGCCTGTGGTCTGCACACAAACCTTCCTTGTTTCACCAGTCCCTAAGCTCATTGTTTTAGGGCAGTCCTGTAATCCTAACTCCTTGCCTATAGCTTTTTAAGGTCCTAATAGGGAGCCCAACCCCCTCACACCCCTTCAAATCTGCCAACTCAGGCTCCCAAAAGCAAGACGCCAGGGAAGCTTTCAAGGAACCCTTGTTTGGTGGCACCAGGCTTCACATGGAACCCACTGTCCTCCACACTTCTCTGAGCCAGGGTGCCTTAGGGACCCTCAAGTTCCCTTCTGGGTCCCTCCAGGCCCTGCCCTCATGACTAAGGATGGGTAGCATTCATTGGGACATTTAAGAGACCCACAAAGAAAATATTTCCAGGCATGCCTTTGGCCCGGGCCTTGCTTTTGCTGGGGTAGTGTGACTTCACTCATGGGGTCCACCCCTTCTTCCTGCTCTCCTGGGCCATGTGCTATCTTGCAATTTGACTGTGATTCTCTGTTCTCCCTCCCACTGGCCTATCAAGGACCATCTCAGACCATTTTGATCACTTTCGTTTCTCTTCCTTCCTTAGTGCATTTTTCTTTGTGTTCCTGCCTAGGCCCCTTGCTAGGCTGTGAGCTCTGCCTGTCCCTCCTCATCTTGAGAATGTGGCATGACAGCTCATGAAGAGGTCAGCCATCATCCGTGTGGACATGGCGGGAAGGTAACTCAGCTCAGAACAAGGGCCGGGCCCCTGACTATGCTCCACAGTTGGCACAAACAACCCCAAGCAAGGCCTGGATGTCTCCCAGGGAAATAAAACACCACCTGTCACTTCTTCTGCCTGTGCCGTTGGACGGTGACAGAGCACCCAGCAAGAAGGAAGGGTTCAGCCCTGTGCAGAGGCTTTCTCTAGTGCCTTCTGCCCCCACCCCCAACCTCAGTTTAAATTCAAATCTGGTCCAAGAAAAGCCTGTTTCTGGATTCCATCCAGAGCAGTGCCAATTGGAGGATCTTAGCTAAACCCTTCAGAGTCTTTGGAATAAGGCAGAACCAAGTTTAAGAACTGGCTGCCTCTCTGCTGCCTGGGCTTAAAGTACTCACCTCCCTAAGACTCCATTTCTCATCTAGAAAATGAGGATAATCATATTTTCCTAACTATAGATCGTTCTAAGTTAGGGTTGCCAGATAAAATGCAGGGACACTCAGTTAAACTTGAATTTCAGATATACAACTATTTTTTTTAAAGTATAAGTATGTCTCAGATGTTGCATGGGATATAATTACACTAAAAAATTAGTCTCTTTTCTCAAATTTAACTGGGTGTCCTGTATTGTAATTTGCTAAATCTGGCAACTCTCCCTGGGATGGGGCGTGTCCCTGGAGCTCATGACTCTGCCCTATATCCAGAACCAAGTCCTGTACATGCCCGCTCTGGGTCTTGGACTACTGAAATTTAAATTTAACTGGAGGCCCTACCTTTTTTACCCCTAAATGTGGTAACCCTATTCTGAGGATTAAATGAGATAAGGCACCTAACACAATGCCCAGCACACAGGAAGTTCTCAATTAATGGAAGTTGTTAGTATTATTGTTAGGCCCTTGATCATGTCAGAGAGGAAAACACTGGCAAAGAACATAGACTTTGAAGACCACTAGAATCAGGTTCAAACCCCAGTGGTTCTATGCAGAAGCTGCATAACTTTGGAGAAGTTAATAACATCCACATGGCTCAGTTTCCTCATCTGTAAAATAGGCGTAATAATAATGCCAGGCCTACAGCATTACTGTTGGACTTAAATAAAAGAGCATATGAAAGTCCCTATGGTAAGACTTGGCATATAGTAGGCTTTCAATAAATGGAAGCTGTTACTATCATCATCCCCTCTACCTTTATTATCACCACCACCACCACCGACATCATCACCATCATAACCACCATCACCACCACTGTCACCACCATCATCATCACCGTCATCACCATCATCACCATCACCATCATCATCACCATTATCACCACCATCATTACCATCATCATCATGACCATCATCATCACCATCACCACCACCACCACCATCATCATTGCCATCACCACCATCACCCTCTCCATGATTCTGCTCAGGTCATTAGTGACTGGATGCTTCAAGATTCTAGGGAAAGGGCCCTTTGTGACCAGCTACCTAGAGAAGGTCATCTCTCCTCCCAACTCCTGGGCTCTGCTGGCCAGTCCTGGAAACACTCGTTCCCCCTAGCATTCCACTCCCGTCCAAGTCTAGGAGAGTATCGTTTGTGTGGGGGATATGTATGTTGGGCAGGGAGTTTGATATAATAAAGACCAACAGCTATAATAGAGAACTGCACTGTCCAACATGATAGCCACAAGTGGCTGTTAAAATGTGATGAGTCCAATTCCAGATGTGCTGTAAATGCAAGATACATACTGGATTTCAAAGACTTGACATAAGAATATGAAATATCACATTACTTATTTTGCATACTGATGACCGGTTGAAATGATAATTTTTGGACATAATGGTTTAAGTAAAATATATTACTAAAATTAATTTCACCTCCCTTTTTAAATTTCAGTTTGGTTACTAGAACATTTAAAATTATATATGTAGGGCTGGCCAGTTAGCTCAGTTGATTAGAGCATGGTGTTATAATACCATGGTCAAGGGTTCAGATCGCTGTACAGGCCAGCTGCCAAAAAAAAAAAAAAAAATTACTTATGTGGCTTGCAATAAATCCCATTGGACAGTACTCCCACAAAGTGGTAAGCATGTTGAAGGCAGGACGGAGGACGGACTAATTAACACATGGGGGTGGTGAGAGAGAGTGTGTTTGGGAGTCTTCAGGCACAGAAAGAAAAATACCACATGCCCTCACTCATAAGTGGGAGAGCGAGGGAGGGAGGGAGGGAGGAAGGAAGGAAGGAAGGAAGGAAGGAAGGAAGGAAGGAAGGAAGGAAGGAAGGAAGGAAGGAAGGAAGGAAGGAAGGACAATCATAATACGTTGAACTTTCAGAAGGAGAGAACAGAACTGTGGTTACTAGAGGCAGGAAAGGGGAAGCTGGACGGAGGATAGCGAGAAATTGGTTAATGGACACAAATCAGCTAGTTCAGAAAAATAAGTTCTATTGATGTACAGTTGAGCTAGGCATCTATAATTAACATTATTTTACTGCATGTTATTAAATGACTAGAAGAGAAGAGATTGAAAGTCCTCAACACAAAGAAATGATTATGTTTTGAAATGATTATGTTTTGTAATGATGAATATGCTTAGTACCTAATTTGATCATCACACTTTGTATACAGGTATTGATATTCAACTCTGTACCCCACAAACATGTATAATCAATTATGTTTCAATAAAAAATAAATAAAAATGCCAAAAAAACCCCAACCCCCAAACAACAAAAACAAAACAACATATGTGGCTTGCAGTAAATCCCATGGGACAGCACTACTGCAGAGTGGTAAGCATATACAAGTAGGACAGAGGAGGGACTAATTAACACATGGCGGGGGATATCTGAACTTGATCTCAAATGATAACCAGGAGGTCAGGAACTGGGAATGGGATTGGGATGGAGGGATGGGAAGGCATGTGCAAAGGCTGGGAGGCCCGTTGGGAAGTTGGGAATTGCTAGAACAAGGGCAGTGCAATGCTGAAGAGCTCAAATGATTCCCTGGGAGCTGTGGGGAGCCATGGCTGGGGTCCCCGGGAGAGCTGGGGTGGGCAAGGCTGGGCAGAGGTACCTGGAGGTCCAGCAGCCCTGTGAGCAGGGCCTTCCCAGCATGGGCTGCGTTAGTCAGCAGATCCTCCCGCTTGATGACACTGATGACCTCGGCCAGCAGCAGGTTCTTGGATGGGTCCCCCAGCCAGGTGTTGAAGATCCGGTAAGGCTGGAATGAGGAAGGGGTGTCGGAAGAGTTCACACATCGGCACACCCTGGAAGGGGCCCACCTCCCCCAGACACACCTTCTCTTTTGAAGAGGAGAGAAATGAACCCAGTGAGGGCTGGGAGGATAACACATGTTATCTCACCGAATTCCTCCAACAACCCCATAGGAGGTACTACTTTTAGGGGGACCAAATCTTCCCATGCCCTGGGAAATCCCTCACTCACAAGAAAACCAAGACAGTGGATCCCTTAACATTGTAATCCTCATTTTATAGAGGAAGAAGCTTTGTCCAGGGAAAACATGGCTTATCAGTAGTGAGGTCAGGACTAGATCACTGGCAGTCTGATCCTCAAAGATCACCCACTTTACCCTCCAACTAAAATATACTTTCTAGATTCTCTTATAGTTAGGAATGGCCTTGTGATCAGGTCTTAGTGTTGAAAACGGAAGTGTTACATGAGATACCTGGGAAGGTTCTAAAAATGAGAAGGGGCCACTTTGTCCTTCACGTCTTTTTCCTTCCTCCTTCCTAGAACTGAGATGTGATGGCTGGAGCTCTAAAGCCATTTTGAACTACGAAGCAACCTTGAGGATGAAAACTACATGTAGAAATGGTGGAAGGAAGGATCCTGGGCCCCTGATGGCTCTGGGTTTGTGTGTGTGTGTGTGTGTGTGTGTGTGTGCATGCGCGCGCGTGAGAATCTGTATGTGCACATGGCAGTACAGTGTAGCAGTTAAGAGCACAGGCTGTGGGTTTGAATCCTGGCTTTGTCTCCTCCTGGCTGTGTGGCCTTGGGCAACTTACTTAACTTCTTTGTACCTGATTCCTCATTAGTAAAATGGGGGATAAAAATAACACCTACTTGGTTACATGGTTGTGAGGATTAAAAGTACAAGAGAAGTGATCATAACCACTGTTGATTAAATTGATAAGAATTGGGCCTTAGAAAACCTCTGTGACACATTAGGTGCCCATCCAGTTCCTCATTTTTGAGAAAAGAGGAAGTGACGCTTCCTCATCTGCCCTGGATGAAGATAGACAGGCCAGGTTTGACTCACAGCGTTGGGTCTGAACTCCTCCTTGTGGAAGAAGCCCCCGGTCATCATCTTCTTGCTAAAGGTCATGACATCTGCTGGGTCATCCAAGCCCCAGTGCTCATGGGCCCAGAACTTGCCGGTGCAGCCCCCTCCAGTCTGGACTTCATCGACCAAGAAGGCACAGCCGTGCTGGCCCGAGACAGGAGAACAGAGAGAGACATAAACACCCGTAGGAGCCCACAACCCACACCCCCACAGCTGACCAACTGCCAAGCCCTGAGTCCAGCCACATGTCCTTGTTTCTCCAACTGCAAACCAACACCACGTTCCTGGGCTCAACAAAACACAACAAAACAAAACACTTCAGCAGACAGTTCCAACCAGAGCTGTGTCTGAATGCTTCCAAAAGCTGCTAAGCTGGAACAAAACTGGAACATCCAGACTCCCTGCACCAAAGCAGACTGCTGCTATTTCATGTGGCTCTGGTCCTGGGTCTTGACCTCATCAGAAGGAAACGTGTTCAACAGTGAAGCCTAGACTGTTTCCCAGACTTCATCTGCATGGTCTGCTTATCTCCAAGCTAGTTTTACTAACTCAGTATTTGTGTTTAAACCAATGTATATGCTACGACTTTTATCTGTGAACACACTGGTTTGATGTGCCGGTTATATAGGCACAACGTATTAAATAAACATGCAATATTAACATAAGGTTTGTTCATTTTGCACCTGTTGAGTATGGACCACACTGGGCTGAAAGATGAAGTAGAGTTTCTTTCTTTTTTTTTTTTTTTTTTAAAGATGACTGGTAAGGGGATCTTAACCCTTGACTTGGTGGTGTCAGCACCACACTCTCCCAAGTGAGCCACGGGCTGGCCCTTGAAGTAGGGTTTCTACAAAGAAAAGTGAACAGGATAAGGCCTTTCCTGGAATCTCTTGACTGGGAAAGTTCCAGACTAAGATGGCAGGCTGGAGGCTGATTTTGCAATGAGATTTTAGGGAAGAATCCCCCATCCTTCCGCAGCCCCAGTTTCTCTATGCCTGATGCCAACAGCCAGCCTCTGCACATCTCCAAGTTTACGAGCACTCCTAAGCAGAGTGGAGCTAACCCATTGCTCAGGGAACCCAACCCAGAAACCTCCGTGGCCCTGTCCACTCACCTTCCTGGCGATGTCTCTCAGTTTCCGAAAGAAGTCGTCTGACGCATGGTTGTCTCCACCCTCAGACTGGATGGGCTCCACAATAATCCCAGCCACTGTCTTCTTCTTTTTCCGGTATTTCACGATCAGATCCTCCACCTGGATTTCAAAGGGGGAAGGGACCATGGTTTGCAAAAGCTCTTGAACAGCATCCGTGGACGGGCAGCATCCAGAGTTCTATGAACCCCTTGAAATTCTGTTGAAAGTAGCTTTGTGTGCATTTTCTGTGACGAGCATGGCATTCATGAGAAGTCACATGTGTGGATGGAAACATATACTACCTGAGATTGGCGCTAGCACCTGTACGGACACAAACTAATGACTCGGGGCAAGTTACTGAGCCTTCCAAAGCCTCACTTTCCTGATCTGTAATATGGGCATACTGACAGAATCTATCTTATGGGGTTGCAGTGGGGATTAAGTGAAAAAATATAGCACAGGGTCCAGCATACAAGAAGTCATGGTTGCTATGACTACCGTTATCACTGCTATGTTATTACTGTTGCTATTGTTATATTATTATTGCTATTATTATGGGTATGAGAATATTCACACAAGAATGGATCTGAGATCTATTTGGGTAGAATCTGAGATATATCATTTAAAAAACTCTTGTAGGGGCCGGCCCGGTGGCGCACTGCTACAGTGCGCCGCTTGGGAAGCGTGGCGGCGCTCCCGCCGAGGGTTCGGATCCCACGTGCAGACCGGCCGATCACTGGCTGAGTGAGGTGCGGGAGCAACACCGAGGGTTGCGATCCCGTAGCTGGTCCCGGTCTGGTGCGGGCGCGACACTGAGGATTGCGATCCGTTGCCGGTCATGAAAAAAGACAAAAAGGAAAAAAAAAAAAAACTCTTGTAAAACTCATTATAGTGATAAAAATCCAATCAGTGGTTGCCTGGAGTGAGACTGGGGGAGAGGTTGGACTGAATTCTCAGAATGACCAGAGGAAATTATCCGGGGTGATAAGGTACCCTCTTTTGGAGTGATGGTGTATTTATTTGTCAAAACTTATGAAACTAGATTTTTAAATGGTTGTAATTTATGGTATGTAAATGAGACATTAATGGGGATGAAGTTGATTTTTAAAAATTTAATGATTAACAGTGATGGGGTAGTAAGAAAAGCATGTGATAGAAAGAAAGAAAGAAGGAAAGAAAGGAAAGAAAAGAAAAAGAAAGGAGAAAGAAAGAAAGAAGGAAGGAAGGAAGGAAGGAAGGAAGGAAGGAAGGAAGGAAGGAGAAAAGAAAAACACCTGATTGTCCCTAACTAGCTATACGATGGTACTTCAGTGGAAAAATGTTCATGGAAAAATGGAATTAAAAGATAATACAAATCTTTCCGTGAACTTTTTGAATTACCCTTGTATTTCTTGAATTCTTGTTCTAAAGTGGATGTTACCTTATAATGAAAGAGTAGCAGTTGTGATACTTTATTAATAGTTTAATGATTATACATAATTTTTAAAAAAACCCCAAACCACATGCCTAGATGGGAGAACAAGTGGAATCTTTTTGTTATGCAGAGCTAAGGAAAAGCCTTCTGTCTGGATGGTGTGATTTTGTTCTTGGTCTCCACCAATCCCCAAGGAGGCTCTGAGATGCTTTTCTTTGCTTTCAGAGCATGATTTGTGATTTGTCACTACATGGGTATTTTCTTGTATGTTTGTTCAAGGCCGTATGTGTTACTACCCTGCACTCTCCAATATGGTAGCTGTGAACCACATGTGGCTTCTGAACACTTGGAATGTCTTTGGTTCATATTGACCTGTGGGGGCTGGCTGGTTACTTGGTTGGTTAAAGTGCACCCTTATAACACCAAGGTCACAGGTTTGGATCCCCATACTGGCCAGCAGCAAAAAACGAGAAACAAAAACAAGGAAATTGAGCTGGGCTGTTAGTGTAAAGTACACAGTATTTTAAAGGTTTAATATGAAAAAAGAATATAAAATATTAAAAATTTAAAATATTAATTGCATTTGCCATGACAACATTTTGTATATATTGGACTGCATAAAGTACTGTTAAAATTAATTTCACCTATTTCTTTTTACTTTAAAAAAATGTAATTGCTAGCACAGCTACAATTACATGTGTGGCTTGCATTATATTTCTAATGGACAGTGCCGTACGAGATGCCATTATCTTGTCTCTTATTTACCACCGAAGACCTAGCACCTAGCACCATGTTTAACATCTAGTAGGTGATCAATAAATATTGACTGAAAATAATGATGTGCCTAAAAGGAAAACCAACAGACGTATTTGAGCTGAAATCCAAACCTGAAGAGTGATAGTCATTTCTCCCCTCACTAACAGAGTCCTTCCAACGTCTTCCATGGAACCCCAATACATGGAACAGATAAAAGGGGGGCTGTTTTGATTAAAGAGGAAGCATGGTGACAGGGGGCTTGCATGTCCTCGGTCTTTCACAGTGCAACCCCCATGGCAACCCAAAAAAGCCCAAGGACTCAGGAGAAGACTGAAAACCAGTGGACTAGAGGATCCTGTGGAACCATTGTTTTCTATGAGATACCCTATATTCTTTCAATAAATCTATTTTCTCTTATTTTACAGTAATTGAAACTTGTTCCCAAAGAAAGAAACTTGAGCAATATGGAAATTAGTACCAATGCCAGGGAACAAAAACATGTCTCACTGTGTTACCCAATATAGAGATTTGGGACATGAGGTCCCCCTGCCCCTGCTTCCCTCCCAGGGAGCACTACACAGATCCGCAGATCTGTCTGCTCCTCTTCTCCTGGGTTAAGTCTTGGGTTGGAGAGAGTGATGAGATGGGGTGTGGGGAGGATCTGGAAGACCTGGGTGTTACCTCCTCTAGACAGCGGGCCTCTTCTTGTTGGTTCTCTTTCACAAACTCCTCCAGAGGATACTTCAGCCGTGGGAATGGTGCAATGGGCCAGTCGAAGGAAGGGATGTCGATCTTGTGAATGGCTTTGGAGTGTGTGGTCGCTAAGCAACCTGAGTCCAGCAAAACAGAAAAGCAGACGCTTGGCATGGGGAAGAGGGATGAACAGTCTTTGAAAAGGAGATGATGGGCATTTCAGCCTGAGACTTGATTGATTGATTGATTGGCGGCTGGCTCGTACTAGGATCCCAACCCTTGACCTTGATGTTGTCAGCACCATATTCTAAGCAACGGAGCTAACTGGCCAGCCCTCATCCAAAACTTTAAATGCTCAGGGAGGTCCCTCTTGCCTGCATAACCCCAGTTTTTATAACATCCTAAAGCTGAAGGGAAACCTGTGAATGCTTAATTTACGCGCACATGCGCGCATGTGTTTGCTTTGGGATTTATCACAGATTTAGCACAGGCTTTGAAGACAGAGAGTCAAGAATCTTGAACCTGAGCTGGCCAGTTGGTTAGAGCATGGTGCTGATACCACCAAGGTCTGGGGTTTGATCCATGTATTGGCCAGCAAAAAATAAAACATTAAAAAATAAAAAAATCCAATCCTGGCTCTAAATGGCCTTGGAAAGTTCTTTCCCTTCCTAGCCTTGATTCCCACACATACAAAGTAGGGATAATAATCTCCACTCTGCAGGGAATTGTGTGGAATCAATGAGACAATATATTTAAACCGCCAATGCCAGATCAAAGGCAGCTGTCGTTATTGTTGTTGCTGTTATCATTATTCTAAATGCCACCTTGAGATCACACTGGTCCTTCCTTACCCATGGTCCTCCCGTGGAATGCGCCCATGAAGGAGAGGATGCTGTAGTCGGGGCAGCCGGGGGCCTAGAATCAAGAAATACCAGTCATCAGTTACAGTTGTAAGGACTGGGCACCTCTACTTGTCTACTGTTGCTCCTGCAAACCTGAAGGGACACAGAAGTCTTTCAGAAGAACCAGGTGTCCTCCTCTGGCAGAAGTTACAAACAGGACCCTTGAGTCTATATCCAGCCAACAGATGTTTTATGTCGCCCACATACTTAAAAAAATAAATTAAAAATGTTTCCAAATCTAAAATCAAGAGATTTCACATCAACATCTGAACTTCTGGCGTCTCACAAGTTCTGCACCATCTGGGCCCATTTTGCTCCTGTGGCAGCAGCATGAGCCTAAAGGCTGGATGCACGTTGCCCCAGCGCCACCACCTGCCCTTCTCCTTTATGTCACCTGCCTGGCTGCTGAGTTTCCAATCCCTATTCTACAGACTCTTCAAGTTCCCCCTGCACCCCTCCTTCCTCTCCACCCCCCCTCTCAGCTCCAGACTGCTTTGTCCACAGGTCTCAGTTGGGCCAGGTGCTGATGGGCATGTATCTGCCTCCCAGGGTGATGGGGGTACAAGGGACTGAGCCAGGCACCTCATGGGAAATGCCCCAGGCCTTTGTCTGCTGGTCAGAAAAGAGAGAGGGAGAACCCTACCTTTCCCTCTCCGATGGCAGCTGTCCCTTGGGTTCAGGAGGGGTGTGTGAACTCCCAGTCCCTAACTAGCCCCAGGCAAGTGGCGCAGATGCTACCCCTTGCATTGTTTTCTGACCCCTACACCCAGGAAGGGAATCCAAACACGTTTCCATCTTTTTTTTTTTTGTCTTTTTCCGTGTCCAGCAACGGATCGCAACCCTCAGTGTCGCGCCCGTACCGGACCAGGACCGGCAACGGGATCGCAGCCCTCGGTGTTGCTACCATGCCTCGCTCAGCCCGTGAGCGGGAACCGGTCTGTATGTGGGATCCAAACCCTCAGCAGGAGCACCGCCGCACTTCCCAAGCGGCACACTGTAGCAGTGCGCCACCGGGCCGGCCCCAAACACGTTTCCATCTGACTCAAGTAGGATTGCTGGGGGTACTTCAGAGTCACCCATGGGGGCCGAGTCTCTGGGAGGCTGGTACAGCATTTTCTGTCTGGCTGATTTCAACCAGGTCCCTGAGACCCCTGGGAGAAACTCTAAGACCTCCTCCCACAAATTCCAGAATACCCTCTTGTCATTTTTTATTTTGTCTCTTGACTATAAATATATATTCATTATATTATAATATATTATAATCATATATTTATAACATTATAGGCACATGTGGACACGACCACTAACAGTGAGGAATGAGATCTAAAAATGTTGATGGGCTTGTCCGTGGATATCAAGTGAGGAAAGTGAAATTAGAGAAAGAAAGAGGTAGGGTAAGGCCCATTTAAAAAAAAAAAAGGCCAGAAAAAAAAAATGAAAAAGGTTGTTTATGTAGGTTTATATGAATATGAATAAAAGATGTGGATACATTTGCTAGCAAGAAGCAGGATTAAGAAAAAATATATATTAAGAAAACATAAGGAAAAAAACCAGTCTGAGCACCCAGGGGCAAGCCATTGGAAACATGTTAGCAAGATCCCTTCTAGCATTTTCCTGTATATTTATTTACACAGTTGAGAGCACAATTTACATCCCATTGTTTTCACTACATTATAGTACTTCATGTCCAGGCCCAGAGAAACCCTTTGTCATTATTTTTGCTGCAGAATATTGTAAAATGAGGGCCGGCCCATGGCTCACGTGGGAGAGTGTGGTGCTGACAACACCAAGTCAAGGGTTAAGATCCCCTTACTGGTCATCTTTTTTAAAAAAAAGAATATTGTGAAATGAATGTAAGCTGTGGGTAATTAAGTTCAGTGGCTCTTGATTCTTTCTTTCTTTCTTTTTTTTTTTTTTAAAGCAGCAGGTTCTTCTGTCTAAATCTTAGTGGAACCCCATACACAGAATGGAGGACAGGCCTGCTCTGGTGGAAGCTGGGTGGGGAGCTTGGAATTCTACCTATAGGTTTTCCCTGTGGCCACCCTGCCGCCTTTGGCCCCCCAACAGCGGCCTCCTGTGGTGCCTCTGTGAACTGCTAGGATTCCATTCGAAATCCCTACATTTAATTTAATCTTCCCCCATTACTGGATATATAGGTGGTTTCCAATCTTTGCTGGTTATTGTTACTATAAATGACAATGGGTTGAACACTCTTGGGGTACATCTGTGTTGACATTTTGGATTACTCTAGAAAATACATTAATGAGGGCCGGCCCGTGGCTCACTCGGTAGAGTGTGGTGCTGATAACACCAAGGCTGCGGGTTCGGATCCTATATAGGGATGGCCGGTTTGCTCACTGGCTGAGCGTGGTGCTGACAACACCAAGCCAAGGGTTGAGATCCCCTTACCGGTCATCTTAGGAAAAAAAAAAAAAAATCACATAGAGAAGACATGCAATCTTCTTAATGTTCCTTATGTTGTAATAATAAACAAATTTCATAATCCACTCATATAATTAGTCAAATTTTGAGATTTTTCTGAAAATCAAAGATGGGGCCTCGAGCCTCCATAAACATACCCTCCTAAATATAAAATTAGGTCACATGATTAAAAGTTCCAAACACCACATTTTCTAAAGTGTTCTGGTAAAGCAACGTTTTTCTTTGGTATATGCAGTCCAAATAGCTCTAACCTTAATCATTTCTCAAACATTAATGGCCTGTCAAATTCAGGCAGTTGTCCTGGGGAACTGATGAAGGCTGGTCAGAAGAACTCCACTCAGCCTTGATACCCAGGGAATGGACTCAAGAAGGGATCTGCTTGGGGACCCCTCCTAATTGAGGGTGGGGTCAGCCAGAGGGGGCTGTGGCAGCTCCCCCAAATGGTGGAGCAGAGAGCCCAGCAGCACTTACCTGGTTAATCATGCAGGTCTCCAGCTCCTCTTTTGAGAAACCCCTTTGCCCTCTTTCCTTGCTCTAACAAAACAGAATAGAAAAAAACCTCAGAGATGCACTGGGTTTGACGGGACTCCAAACTTTCCACCCAAACCGACATTTAGTCCAGACAACTAGAGAGTGCTTTTTCAAGAGCTGATCTCATGTATTGATCATTACACTTCCACACAGAAGCATGAGACTGTTCATTGTGCTTGTGACAAAATAAACAGATGAATACAGAAGATGCATTAATATTCCATCCTCAACAACTATTGAGATGGTCTATGTGATGCCAGGAAAAATAGTGCAATGACACTACAGAGGTTAGAAGCCAAAGCCTCGGCCTCTGCACCATACCCTACTGGAATGTTTGGGGAGCTCCGTCTGGACAGTGGTCCTGCCCAGGCAGTCACGATGAATGGTCAGATGAGGGGTGAGTGCGTGGCTGGTACTGGGGGAGACTCTGCGTGTGTGTTTGTGTGAGTGTGTTCATGCCCCAAACCTCACCCGGTACCACATGAAGATGGTCTTAAAGGCGTTTTCATTGGAGCAGGAGCCGCAGGCCATGGTGATGAGCTGGGACATCCCTTTGGGAGCCACCTGCAGCAAGGGAACAGCCGTGAGCCCAGACCCCTCTTGACTCCCCATTTCCCCTGCCTGGAGCTGCTTCTCTGCAGGGGCCATGGCCTGGGCCCTGAAGGCCAGGGGAGGGTGGACTTGGCCTTTTTCAGGGACGGAGGAGAAGCCCAGGGAGGCCCTGAGGCTGGCAGAGAAGAAGGAAGGGTGCTGAAGTCCCCATCTGTCCCTCCTGACGCAACTGCCACCCCCTCAGTCACCTACATTTTCCAGGTGGGAAGTTGAGGCTCCCAATAAATAGCTTTAATCATTGTAACAAGTAAAGCTGAAAAGTCAGGGGAAGACTGAGTAACATACAAGTGTGCAAAGCTCCCATTATGGGAAAGAGATGAATTTCCCCTGAGTTCCCTTAAGGAAGAATCCCTTCTTTTCTCCAAATGGGAAATTTAAAATGCTCTCAGAGAAAACATAAGCATGACACCCTATCTGTCTTTGTGATGGATCTCAATCCTTTCCTTGCCCTGAGGGCAGGGGGGCTGGAAGGAGGAGCTGGGACTCACTGAGAGCAAGGACTCCCGGAGCTTCTCCACGAAGTTCTCTGGAGGCAGGATTCCGAGGGCAGGTCTGTTGATGAACATGCTCTGCAAAATGCCAGGAGACACACAGTGACTTCTCAGTGCCTGGTCCCACTGCCTGCCCACCAATGTTACTTTTCCCTCCACTGGAGGAAGGGTGAATGAACGCTGGTGTGTGCACACAATGGAATGCGGCTCTGCCACAGAAAGGGACCATCTACGACCCATGCAAATCACTTGGAAGAACCTCAGGGTCATGAAGCTGAGTGACAGAAGCCAGAATCAAAGGGGGTGCACTGCATGGTTCCACATCTACGGTGTCCTGGAAAAGGCAAAGCTATAGAAATGGAGAACAGCTTATGGTTGCCAGGGGCTAGAGTGGGATTGGTTACAAAGGGACACAGGGGAATGTCTGGAGTGATGAATTTTTCTTTTTTTAAAAAATTGTAAAAAGCAGATAAAACTTAACCGCCTGAACCATTTCCAAGTGTACCATTCAGTGGTGTTAAGTATATTCACATTGCTGGGCAACCATCACCACCATCCATCTCCAGAACTTTCTCATCTCCCCAAACTGACACTCTCTCCCCATTGAACATCAGTTCCCCATTCTCCTCCTCCCAGCTCCTGGCAACCATCATCCTACTTCCCATCTCTATGAATGTGACTACTCTAGAAGCTTCATATAAGTACAATCATACAGCATCTGTCTTCTTGTGACTGGCTTATTTCACTTAGCATGACGTTGTCAAGGTTCATCCATGTTGTAGCATGTGTCAGAATTTCCTTCCTTTTGAAGGCTGAATAATATTCCATTGTATGAATAGACTACTTTTTGTTTATCCTTACATCTCTCAATGGACACCTGGGTTGCTTCCACATGTTGACCATTGTGAATGATGCGGCTGTGTACATACATGTGCAAATGTGTCTGGACTTTGATGGTGATGACACAAGTATGCTGATGGAGTCTGGATGTGTTGTCCCCTACGAAACTCATGTGGAAATTTGATCTCCAATGTGGTAGTGTTGGAAACTGATTGAGTCATGGGGGTGGATCCCTCATGAATGGATTAACACTCTCCCTGGGGGAGGAGGGGTAGTGAGTGAGTTCTCGCTCTTAGTTCCTGTGAGAGCTCGAGCTTGTTGCAAAAAAAAAAGACCCTGGCACCATCTCTCTCTCTCTCTCGCTTCCTCTCGCCATGTGATCTGCTTGTACCCACCGGCTGCCTGCCACTTTCCACCATGAGTAGAAGCAGCCTGAGGCCCATGCCAGATGCAGCTGTCCCAGAATCGTAAGCCAAATAAACCTCTCTTCTTTACAAATTACCCAGTTTCAGGTTGATCTGTTATAGCAACACAAAACAGACTAAAACAGAAAATTGGTACCAGGAGTGGGGTGTTGCTATACAGCTACTTGAAAATGTGGATGTAGCTTTGGAACTGGGTAATGGGCAAAGGTTGGAGGAGTTTGGAGGACTTAGAAGAAGAGAAAAAGATGAAGGAAAGTTTGGAATGCCTTAGAGGACTTATGTGGTGGTGAGCAGAACACTGGTAGAAATGTGGACAGTAAAGGCCATGCAGATGATGAGGTCTCAGATAGGAATGAGGAACTTATTGGGAATTGGACAAAAGATCACCCTTGCTACACCATAGCAAGGAATGTGGCCGCATTGTGTCCATGCCCTTGGATTTTGTGGAACGTGGGACTTAAGAGTTGTGAACCAGAGCATTTGACAAAAGAAATTTCTAAGCAGCAAAGCATTCAGGACACTGTATGGCTACTTCTAACAGCCTACTCTGAGTTATGGCAGCAAAGGCATGATGTAAAGCCAGAATTTAAAATGGAAGGAGAGCATAAAGATTTGGAAACTTTGCAGCCTGGCCATGCAGTAAAGAAGCAGAGAGCCAGAGAACAACGCAAGGGTGAAGCAGATAAACTGCTTGCTGAAGACATTATCTTGGCGGTGAGGCAGCCAGATACTAAGAACCAGGACAATGGAAAAAATGTCCTAAAGGCATTTGAGAAGTCTGGAAGGGTGCCCCACCCATCACAGGCCCTGAGGCCTAGAAGGACTGAGTTGTCCCAGAGGACAGACCTGGGGCACAGCTGCCCTCAGGAACCTGCTCCCTGTATCCCAGCTGCTCTGGCTGGAGTGGCCCCAAGTGTGGTTCGTGCAGCAGCCCTGGAGAGTAGAGGCCTGAAACCTCAGTGGCGTCCACATTGTGTTAAGTCTGCAGGCCGGCAGGACGTGAGAGCAGTGGAGTGATGGCAGCCTCCAGACAGATTCCAGAGGATGTATGGAAAAGCCTGGAAGCCTGGGCAGAGACCTGCCGCAGGGGCAGAGCCACCACAGAGGTCATTTACTAGAGCAATGCTGAGCAGAAAAGTGGGGTCAGAGCCCCCACAGAGAGCCCCCACCAGGGAAATGTCTAGTAGAGCCAAGGCAGTAGGGCTGTAGCCAGGACCCCAGAACTGCAGGGCCGCTGGTAATGTGCAATGCAGGCCTGGAAAAGCCACAGGCACTAGCATGGCCCACTGGGCTGGGCCTGGCAGAGCTGTGGGAACAAGGCTGCCTGATGCTTTGGGGGCCCAGATGCCCCAGTGTGCCCAGGACGCAGGAGTTGGAGTCAAAGAAGATTATTTTGGAGCTTTAAGATTTAATGTCTGTCCTGCTGGGTTTCAGACTTGTTTGGGACCTGTTTTTCCTTTCTTTTGGCCTATTCCTCCCTTTTGGAAGGGGAATGTATACCCAATGTCTGTTCCACCATTGTATCTTGGCAGTAGATAAATTTGGTTTTGTTTTTCAGGTTCACAGCTGGAAGGACTTTTGCTTTTGGTCTCAGATGAGACTTTGGACTTTGGACTTTTAAGTTGGTGCTGGAGCAAGCTAAGACTTTTGGAACTGTTGGGATAGAATGATTGTATTTTGTATGTGAGAGTGACATGAGTTTTGGGAGGCCAGGGGTAGAATGATAGAGTTTGGATATGTCGTCCCCTACAAAACTCATGTGGAAATTTGATCTCCAATGTGGCAGTGTTGGAAACTGATTGAGTCATGGGGGCGGATCCCTCATGAATGGATTAATGCTCTCCCTGGGGGACGGGGGATTAATGAGTGAGTTCTCCCTCTATTAGTTCTTGCGAGAGCTCATCGAAAAAAAAAAGACCCTGGCACCTTCTTCCTCTCTCTTGCTTCCTCTCGCCATGTGATCTGCTTGTACCCACTGGCTGCCTGCCACTTTCCGCCATGAGTAGAAGCAGCCTGAGGCCCATGCCAGATGCAGCTGTCCCAGAATCGTAAGCCAAATAAACCTCTTTTCCTTATAAATTACCCAGTTTCAGGTTGTTCTGTTATAGCAACACAAACGGACTAAATCATATGCATTTATCAACAACCACAGTACACTAAAAAAGGTGGAGTTTACTGTGTATAAATAGTACCTTAATTTTTAAAAAATGAAGAGGAAAAAAGGCATTGACTGGCCAGTTGCTCAGTTGGTTAGAGCATGGTGCTGATAACACCAAGGTCCAGGGTTTGATCCCTGTACTGGCCAGCCACCCAAAAAACAACACAAACATACAAACAAAAGGTTATTAAAAAAAGAAAGAAAGAAAAAAGACATGAACAAAGGCAGCGGCAGTTCTGGAATTTCTAAATAGAACAGGGGATCTGCTGGAGGAGCTGGCTAAATAACCAGAGTGGATTGATTGTGAGAAAAACCATGTTCAAAAATTAAAAGATTCTATGTGTCAATCTTGGGCCTGGTGGTGACCAAGATGAACTTGCTTAACCAAGGGTGGTCAGCCCTGCCCCATCCGTGGCTGTGAGCAGGACTCAAGGCCAAAGGAGCCAGCATCTCCAAATTTCAAAAGAAAACGGAAATGCAGATTTTAATGTGCATTAATTTAAAAATGCCGGCCCAAAATATCTTAAAACGACCTCTGGCCGAGGGACAGCCCCCCACTCCTGTAGCTGCATTCTTGAAGGGAACCAGCCCTACTGGCTTTAAAACACAGGCATGGTTGCTAGCTGCCCACATGATGGGGTGAGAGACACACGGTGGGGCCAACTGTCCCAAATCTCCCCCACAGGCTTGCTGCCATGTCCTGAAACACTTTCCTTAAAGCAAAGAAGAAAAAACCTGAACAAACCGATCATGTCCAATCCTGCAAGGACACCAACCATGGCAGAAGTTTCAACCGATTGTGTCGATAATGTGTGTTAAGAGCCTCACCATATTTTATACCCTGCTCTGGTTATCTCATTTCTGAACCCTCTCTAAAGAAACGATTTCTAACATGGACAAAGGCGATGCATTTAATTATTCAGGTAGTATTATTTATAACAACGGAAAGGAGAACACTCAGCATCCAGCATTGGGTTAAGTAAACTAAAGCAGGTTAACTCAAGGTAATGTCACGTGGCTACTGAAATTGTGTTTTTAAAAGTTTAGAGTCACGGAAAGGCTTAGATTACAGTGGATATATATTTCTCTTTTTATAACAATCAGGAAGGTTTGTACTCATAACTCCATTCTTCAACTCATTCATTGAGTCCTATTGTAAAAACACTGTGTTGTATTTCTGGACAGTAAAGTGCATTTGTTCACATTATTTCATTCCAGAGACCAGTTAGGGGAGGGTAAAAGTGCTAGGTTAGGAGTTAAAACTGTCAAGGTCAAGTCACTTAATGTTAAGGAGCCTCAACTATTTTATCTTTAAAATGGAGATAATATTGCCTGCCCTTCCTTGCTCACAGGGGTGCCAGGAAGACCCAGGAGGTGATGACTGCTCATGGAGTGGCTTCAGGCCAGGTCATGAGTGACCACCCTCCTCACCCCGTAGGAGGAGGGGAAGGGTCTGGAGAGAGTGGAGCAGTAAGCCCCAGGAGGGACAAGAGCCAGCATTGATATGTCTTGGGGACATGCTATGTGGCAGGCATTGGGCAGGGGCTTTACAGGGGCTTATGACAACCTTGTCACCCTTTACTGATCAGGAGAACAAGTGATCGTATTGGGGAGAGATGCCTTAGACTGAGTGGCAAAGCATGTTAAGCCAGTGA